TTATTATTTTTTATATTAAATAGTGATATATTTATTTATTATTTTCAAATTTAACATTTACTTTTATTCAATCTAACTAGTATGTACCCGTGCGATGCACGGTGGGCGCATAACTTAAAACATATTGAAGTACTTATTTTAAATGTAATTAATTGAATTTAACATATAATTATGAAAACAAAAATAAAAATAAAAAAGAAATCATATATTATTAAAAACTTCTCTGTACACAACATTATTTGTTTGATTTGGGGGCAAATCATGTTCACCACATATTAGAATTTTCAAACCATTTATGTTGGTGACGCGCGAAACAACAACATATAACTGGCTATGACTGAAAACTGGTTTCTTCAAGAATAAACCAACGTGGGATAAGGATTGACCCTGGCTCTTTTTAATAGTCATTGCATAAGAGACCACGATAGAGAACTGCCTTAGTTGAAACTTAAAAGGTACTCTTGCATCCGAAGTTATCGTCATTCGAGGTATCAACACTTTATCCCCAGCATGGTCGCCCGTAAGTATCCTACATTCTAGGACATGATTGGAGAGTCTTGTAACAACCAAACGTGACTCGTTGCACAATCCCATAGAATGATCCATGTTCCGCAACAGCATAACCGGAGTTCCCACCCTCTAGTGCAACTCATGATTTGGTGTACCAGAACATTTGAGAGAATTTGAGAACTCAGGAGTGTGGATTTCTGACAAGAAGTCAGAATTCACATCGGATTTACAGGTACTGTCGGAGCTCAAATATACACGACCTTTCTGTTAGATTCAACGACGACATGTATTGGTTGATAGACTCAACGATCTCCAACGTAGTAAGCATCCCATGCGATGCACGGACGAACTTGTTTCTTGAAATATTTTTTTTTTAAAAAAATTATATTTAAAATGTAATTATTTATATTTAAACAACTCATTATATTAAATATAATTATTTATATTTAACATATCTCATTATTGATTTTTATAATAAGTATTTTTCATAATTAATTATCACTCAAATAAATCAAATAACTAATTACCATTCAAAGAAAACAATTAATTAATTAACATAATTGTTTCCTATAAAAAAAAATAAGCAATGCATATTAGACAATTAATGTGCACATCCCATCCAGGAACTGACTTTCGTATCAATCGAGAACTTCTCACACGTCACATCTCCTGGCTTGTCATTCCCAAGTGCCACCCTTCGAGCTAAATATTCTCGTCCGATCTGCCATAGCCCAACAACTCAGACCAACCGCCAGAAACTCGTGCAACCAGCCCGAGTCCAACAAAAAAATATTGTATTCTGCTGGTATTTCACAAGCGCGCGCAATTCACATCCAACAAAATTTCGCTCAACAATTCACGCACGTCTCATTTTTCGTAGCAAAATCCAACCAAGAAAAATGAACCGTCGTTCGAAAAATTATCGCCAGCGCTCAAAATATTCGATTGTCTTCACCAGCAAAGAGTGCGACCATTTGTCGCCTTCAACATCCACTCCAGTCCGACCAGCATTGCACGCAAAACAATCGAGATACCTCACTCGTTCAGTCGGTCTTCTTGCCATGTTTGTTACCAACTGCCCGTCAGCAGCATCATTGCAACGTCCAAGCATCAACAACCTTCGTCCAGCAGTCAGGAACAACCAGCACCAGCACCGACGACCTCATATCTTTAAGCTTCGTTGACCCTTCAGTATGGTCATCCTTCGGCCGTCGATTTCGAGCCAAAACTCGACCAATAAGACCATCATCAGCCGCCTGAGACTTCGTACAGTTTGTCCATACTTCCCGATGCACGACCAAAAACACACAACCTTCAACCATCAGCGTCCGACGCTGCATCAATTTTGCCCCGACTTTCCAATGCACGACCAAAAATTGCCAGCCTTCAGCCGTCAACTTCCGACGCCGCATCTGTCCGATAATGTATGCCCGCTGACCTCTGTCAGCCCTAGCCATAACCCGGCCCCTCGTACAAGCCATGGATGCAACCTAGCCGGCTGTGGACTACGGGTAGCCGATGATAAATATATATATTGAGTTTGAAGGGAGACAATGATAAAGGGAATAATGTGGAATAATGTTAAATTATTTCCAAAAGATAATGAAGAGTTTGTTACCAACAAAAATTCTATGGAGCCATCCGATGGCTCTATAGCAAAACTGTTATTACCAATATAATTATATGTAAGTTAAGATAAGATGTAATGTATCCAAAAAAATCTGCATGTGATTGCTTTCTTTGAATGTTTAATTTAATTTTTTTCAAAATATTTAGTCTGCTATTAAATTATAGTAGATTTATAAAAATAAATAGGAATAAGTAATTGTTTGAAACGATAATTACGGATCAATTTATGGTATTGGGATATGTGATAGTTTTGCAGTTATCTTGCTAAAGAATGGATTGTGTAGAGATTTAAATAACGTGTCATTCTATTTTTTTGATATCTAATCATTTTTATTAACTTGTCTCCAACATAAATATTATGAAAATATTCAAATGCATGTGATTTTGTAAGAAAATATCTATTTTTTTAATTTAATGACCGCATTAAAAATAAATTATGAAAATATTCAAACGCATATGTGATTTTGTGAGGAAAGATCTATTTTCTAATTTAATGACTACATTAAAAATAAATTTAAAGGAGCAGAATAATATAATATATATATATATATATATATATATGAATAAAAATCAATTATCTCGAACTCTCTATATATACAAATATATGTAAAAAAACATTAATTATCTCAAATGTAACCACTGAACGATTTTTTAGGTATTTATAATGTTATGATTATTGTCTAATAACTAACAATATTTAAAAATATAAAAAACTATGCTAACTACTTTTAATTTTCACGAATTTAGTGGGTAATAAATTCTTAAATATAGCTAGAATCTAATGTAAATTTTATCTATACAAAATATTAATGGCCCTAAATCAAGAAGATTTATTTGCACTTATTGATACTCAATTAATTTATATTATAAATTAATAAATATTGTCAATTTTGTCACATATCATCTTTTTCATTTCAAAAGTAAATTATTCTTCCAAAAATGGTGTTAGGAATATCTGCTGTCAAACTCAAAAGATTATTAAATTACTCATACAGAAATATAGAAAAAAAAAATATTTTCAAATGATACGAATTAAACTAACGGACTTGTAGGGATTTAAATCAAAAGGATAAAGGAAAACATGTGTTACAAAGTAAAAATTGGTTAGATAAATATTGACTCGTTCAATTTTTTTAAAATTCGAAAAAAATTGTTTAAGGCCGGATAAACGTGAACCAAATAAAAATATTTTAGTAAATATTGACTCATTCAATTTTGGAAGAAATCTCATCCAAAATGAAAGGAATACCATCCAAAAACAGTTTCCGAAAAAATTCAAAATTTCGAAAAACAGATTTAAGCGGAATCCGAAAAAATTTCAAATACAATATTAGAGGGAAAAACAGGTTTTAAGCGGGAAAACGAATCCCCGAGCCACAAAGATGCCGAGCCGCAGCTACATCACCGACCACCCGAAACCACTGCACACCACCACCCACCACTGCCCCAACGCGGCCATCACCACTGGCCGGAGGTCAGAGCAATGGTCAACTCCGGACCCAACATCAAAGGAACGGGGAAGAAGGACGGAAGCACAGCAGAGCTTCGGCCGTCCGACACCATCGCCGTCGAACAACCGAAGCACCTTCCACCCGACCGAATCCGCCGCAGTCCTCCGCCCACCACCGCCCCGCCTCTGCCATCACCACTGGCCGGAGGCGAAACGATGGTAATTCCCAAGCCCACCAACAGGGGAAAAGGGAAAAGAACAGAGAACGCGGCGGAACTTCGAAACCCACCTCCCTTCACCACTCACCGGAAAACCGAAGTAGCCCGCTGGTCGGCCAAAGAAATACCGACCCAATCTTAAGAGATGAGGCTAACCTGAGCAAGCGACGAGAGAGCGCGAGAAGCCGGGCGAAGGCCAGGCGGCCATTGATGACCACCGATTCGAGCTTAATTGCCGCTGAGGAAGGCCAATCGACTCGGGATTGAAGGCGGACGCGCGGCGGTTAGGGTTGGGAGAAAGGGGATCGGGGAAGGGTTGGGAGAAAAGGGGAACTGGTTAGAAAAAAATTGTTTAAGGCCGGATAAACGTGAACCAAATAAAAATATTTTAGTAAATATTGACTCATTCAATTTTGGAAGAAATCTCATCCAAAATGAAAGGAATACCATCCAAAAACAGTTTCCGAAAAAATTCAAAATTTCGAAAAACAGATTTAAGCGGAATCCGAAAAAATTTCAAATACAATATTAGAGGGAAAAACAGGTTTTAAGCGGGAAAACGAATTGATTTTTTCCGGATTGTTCAAATAATTTTTCTTCTCCGTATTATATAGTAATGGATTTTTATATTAAGTTTTCCTTTGTTCTATTGTCCTAAATAAATGTGTGTTGGATATGTAATATAAAATGATGTTGGTACAGTGGTTTAAAGCCTTCCCTATTAAGTTTTTGGCCCGAGTTCGAATCTTAAGAGAAGAAAAACATGATTTTTGAATAATGGCTTGAAAAAATGAAGACAGATCCGCACAGCACGCGCGTGCACACCATTGCGTCATCTTAGACGATAAACCTTAATAGAAGGGTATATGACGCAATTTTTAATCTAGAGGGGGTAAACGCGCAGATTTAGTATAATACAGGAGGGTTTGGTGCATTAAACCCTAATTTATTTATATTTATTTATATTTTATTTTAATTATTTTGTTTTCATTTAACATAATAAGTTATTTAAATTATTTTTTTTGTTTAATTTTATATAATTTAGTTTCTTATATTTGAATTATCATAACTTTATATTTTAATAATTTAATTTAATATAATTTATATTATACTCTAAATTTAATTTCACTTATCCATAACAATGTCCGTATATATCAAACATTTCTAGTTGTAACACTCAACCTTGAGTAGTGTAGTGGTTGCATTGCTTGTCTTGCTCTGCAATTTTTTTTAATTCAATTTCTCGCGATATATTCAATATATCGTGATAAATCAATATATCGTAAATATATGTATAATATTGAGAGAGTATAACGGGACTTTTGAAAAAAAACTAACACCGTTAACGGAGAAATAGAGACAAGGGAGCAATAGAGACAATGGAGCGTGTGCATCTGAACCCTTAATAGAAGGGGGTATGATGCAATTTTTAAATTAAAGGAGGGAAACGCACAAATCTATTAATATATAAAGAGGGAATGATAGTTTTTTGAAAAAATCAAGTGAAAAATCAGCAAAAAAAAGATTTCAATTCCCGCCTAAAGTTTAGCATAATTTTTGGCGAAAAAATGAATATGTCCCGCCCATGCAATTCGAAAAATTTGGAAGTCTTTTTACTGATTTTCAACGCCTATAAACTCGCGTTATTATTGGATGAAATCGTTATTATGGGATGATGATGATATTCTTCATTTATCATTTAAGATTTGGTCCGATTTTTATGCTACTTATTTGTAGATATCCTAATATTAATAAAAAAACATACAGCAAAACATAATGAAATCCTACCTATATAAATACATTGGTTTATCACCTTCTCCAAAGGTGCATAGAAAAAAATACACACAGAAATTTCGAGATACACAAAAAAAAAAAAAAGAAATGGCAAGATTCTTTGGTACACTCGGGGACGCCAACAGGGCCACGCAACCGTATTTGACATTAAGAGTAGTAAGCACTCTTAAAACGAATTTCGAGCTGCAGTCCAAGAACAATATTCAAATCCTGTTTCACGATGAACATGTAAGCGTTTCAATTGTTTTATGTAACATACATATTTATATAATTTATTTTAGTTAATTGTATAAATTTTTATTGTAGGGTTCACACATACATGCCATCATCCGTTCTCGAAGCATGGAATTATATCGAGATGTGTTCGAATTAGGCAAAGTTTATGCAATCCACAACTACAATGTTGAACTCAATAATCAGAGGATCAATACAACCGGCCACATATGGATGCTTGTGCTTCATCCAAGGACAAAAATTTATTCACGAGCGATGGATACTTTCCATCAACATTAGCTAGGGTTCTCAAATTATAAAGATTATTGCATGGATTTCTTAGGAATTATGAAATTGTTATGTTAAAATTTCAATTCGAGTTGTTATGTTTTGATAGGATTTGATAATATTTATTTATATTTTGAGACTTTTATGAGTATTATTATTATTATGTTTTCCTTTATTATTCAATTTAATTCGATTCCATGCTTAAACAATGATTATTGTATTTTAAATTGATCTCTATAGATATCACCTAAATTTTTGGTCTAATATAAATAAACTAATTAATATTAAAACTTAAATGTTGATTGTCAAATATTTCGACAATTTATAAATTTATAAATATGTAAAAAAGATTTGATAAAACTAACAATCTAAAAAATATTTATGCAATTTTAATCTAAAAAATTTTAATATTGAGATACAAATTTTCTTTAAATATTCAAATTTTTTAAAATAACCACATTTTTTCTTTTATTAATTAATAATTTTGATATCTATCAAATACGGTTTAATAATGAGATAAATGTGTTCGTATATTTTATAAACCAATTGTCCTAATAAATGTTAATAGATAAATATGTTAATAGATTTACTAGGACTTATCTAATTCAAATAAATATTTATCCTATTTAAATTAAAACAACAGTTACGTTTTTACAAATTTCTTTAAAATATTCATACTGATATAAATACCACATTTTTTTCGATTGTAATTTAGATATCAATCAAAATAGTTAAATATTGAGATAAATATGTTAATAGAATTTATTATATAACAAACATCCTAATCAATGTTAATAGATAAATATGTTAATAGATTTACTATACTTATTAAATTGTACTCAATATTTATCCGATTAAAATCAATGAAAACAATTTGTTTTTTAAAAATTTCGTTTAAATATTCATCATGTTATAAACGTCCAATTTTTTTCGAATAATAGATGTAGATATCCAAAAGATGAGTTAAATATTGAGATAAATATGTTAATAGATGAGGATGGGAACAAACATCCTAACCAATTTTAATATATAAATGTGTTAATAGATTTACTTGGACTTATCTAATTGTACAATCCGAAATTTTTTATTACTTACAGATTTTGTTAGATTTTTTGTCATTTATTTGAAGATGTCTTAGTATTGATTAGTCCATAATTATTTCACACTATAATCACGCTCACGCGCTTTATTAAACAAAATTTGCACTCAAACAATCGGATTATTTGCATATTTCGTTTAATCAATCCGATTCCCTAACTAAAATATCTAAAATATTTGCATAGAAATATTTTCTGATCATTAGGAAATTAATAATAAATATCAAATAACTTTGATAACTAAAATATTTAAAATATTTCGTCTGAATGTCATTAGAAAATTAATAAATCTCAAACAACTTTAATTACCATTAGGAGATTAATAAACTAAATCACTTAAAAATTTTTGTTCACGTTGTTTGTCAATGATTTGTATATATCTTAACAATATCATTCCATAAACTTAAGCACAAGAAAATAATGGACACACGCATCTATTAAAATAATTGTGCTAAAATAAATCTGATTATCATTAGAAAATTAAAGTAAATCTCCAAGACAATTTGCATTTATCTACTTAGCAAGATTAACCACGTAACTTTCACTATAAAAGAATAATGCATTGCATGTTATTTTTCATTCAAGCAACGAAGCACATCATAGTCTTTTCTTTTTTATTAGTGAGATTAAGAAAATGACTCAAACATGGGGCTTGATCAGGGATATCAAGAGGTCTAATAGGGCATTCCTCAAGCTTCGTATTATTCGCATGTTTCAAAGAACTTCCGAGAATTTTTCTAACAAAAAAGTGCTTGAGTTAATTTTCCATGATAATGAGGTTTGCCACAAAGGTCTATTATTATTAATTTATTATTATTAAATTATATTTTTTTGTAGGGTGATAGGATAACCGGTCTTATAAGGCCCGTTCACATATCTCATTTCATTGACGAGCTTAAAGATGGAGAAGCTTATGCCTTCAATCATTATCAAGTGGAGAGTAACATAGGCATTTACAAATCAACTATTGGCAAATTTAGGATCATACTTCACAGGGGAACCGAATTCTATAGACTAAAGAGCACATTCCCATTGTATAGATTCTCTTTTAGAGAATTTCTCACTTTGCGTGATATAGACAATGTGGACGAAGCAATTTTGTTTGGCAAGTCATATTTTAAATTTTGCCATGAAATTAAAATTCTTTTATATGAATTGATGTATATTATTAGATTTTAATAAACTTTATCATGTGTAGATGTTATTGGCTTGGTGGTGGAAACCCATCCAATTCAAATCAAAAACGTGAAAAGTGGCCCGACGCAGATGATTAATTTCAATCTTATGAATTTGGAGTTAGTTGTTTCGATTTTTTTTTGTTTTTAAATATTTCACTCGATTTTTTGAGCTTATTATTATTTTATTTTTATTATTTTTAGTGGTCTTACTATGACGTGTACAGTTTGGGGAGCGTATGTGGATCAATTTATTGCTTTTGAGAATTATTATGTGGAAGCCAATCAACCGTTTGTATTGGTCATACAAATGTGTCGTGCAAAGCCGTGGAATGGTAATTTTTTTTTATTTTTTAATTGTCCAAAATAAACATAAAAATTATGCTTATTATAATTTTAAATTAGTATTGATTGACGATTTTTTTTTTTTTTTCAATAGGTGAAGTTCAAATAACAACTTCAAAGGATGTCACCCACTTGATTGGTGTTCACGATATTCCCAAAGTTGAAGACCTTTTGGAAAAGTAAATAATTTTTTGATTTATGTCTTATCATGGTTATAGAAATATTTAAAGTTTATATTTTAAATAAATATTTTTTTTTATAGGATGTCTTCTAGCAAAATCAAAAGTGTGAAGCTTAGATCGAATAGCTCTTTAGTTGTTAAGAGTGAAGTTCAAGGACTTGAGGATGGTGATGT